GCCGATAGACCCTGGAGACTCCCATACAGAACCACACATACACAGTCAGACGTTTCGAAACCAGCACACAAGCCAACAAACATACACTACTATAACAGAAAGAAAGATACACTGGATATATAATAAGAAAAACTAATACCATAAAAAATATACACAGGACACAACACCTGATAACATAACACAGGAGACAGCTGAACAAGATCACAGACCCACATTGAGGCTTGCCTCGATGAGCCAACACACACACACGCGCACTCACAACTAGCCATAGACAACCAACACACTAGCCCAAAAAAAAAGAATAAACACATAAAAAAAAACCCCAAGATATACGTCACACCTGGCAGTCCACCAAGCAGAACACATCCTCACTGCACAGACATGCAAAGGTAACAGTGACAACAGAGTCTCAGCCCGCAGAGTGCGGCGGAACTCAGTGGAAGCTCGGGGCACGAGTGCATGCAAAGGGTCCTCAGGCACCGCGGCTCTCACACTGCAGAGTACTCGGGCAAAGGCTATGCGCGATGGCATGCAAACGGGTTCAGTCGCGAGTCGCCGGGCTCTCACGTCGCGCCCGGGAAGGCTGCCACCGAAAGGGCCTCTCAGTCGCGAGTACATCAAAGCGCTCTCAGTGCGCAGTGCACGCTCGCCAAAGGCCAGTAACACACAAAGCGCCAGACAGAAGCACACTGCAAAAAGGTCTCCAGCTTGCGGAGCCCACACAAAAAAAGAACAACAGAACAAACAAAATACAGAACAACAGCAACACCAAACAGTGACAACAAGGCGAACATACAAACCCACAACAGTGCATCGAACACAACAAGTGCCACAACAAACCACAACATCTCAAAACAGGAACACAGCACGAACATCAACACAGCAAACTCACACATCAAGAACAGAGGACTACGGGACAGACAGAGACAACAGCGGAACGTCTACAATAAAAGGAGTCTCAGCATGGCGCGATGCGAGGTCTCAGTGCGCGAGTGCCGGGTCTCAAGTGCAGATGGCATGGCACAGCTGCCCTGCAGTCGCGAAGTGCAGGGTCCTCACAGTGGCGGATCGGCGTCTCGTGCGGCAGTGCCGGGGGTCCTCATCGCCTGAGTGCAGCAAAGGGCGTCAGTTGCCGATGCGGGGTCCTCAGGCGGAGTGCAGGCGCTCAGTGCGGATGCGCAGGGTCATCAGTGCGCCAGTGGCGGGGTCCTCATTGCGAGTGCATGCAAAGGTCTCAGTCGCGGAGTGCCGGGGCTCAGTGCATCGGGCGTCTCAGTCGAGTGAATGCCCGGAGGCAGGCACGCGCGCGCGGCGGGCCGGGCCACTACACGATGCAGCGGCCCGTGCGGATGGGCAGGAAGTCGCGGCGAGCCGCCCGTCACCAAAAAACGAGGCGAACTCAGACACGCGTCAGTGGCAGTCCGCCGCCACGCCGCAGACGTCCTCGTTCTCGCGGCGCGGCCCGACGAGCGAGCGGGCCACCCCTCTGCACCGCTGACCGGGATGGGGCCGCGCGCGGGAACTTGGATGCTGGGCGCACAGGCGATGGCCACCGTCGATGCCGTGTCCAGATGACCGACGCATCCCCAGGTGGTCCGGCGGCGCCGCTGCGTCACGCAGTCGGAAGCGACGACCCGCGGGCCCGCGAGTGGACCACGGTGGCCGCGCCCGGGACAGGGACCCAGGCGACTCGGGCAGGGGACGGGAACGCGCCGCCGCGTCCTCCTCCGCAGCGTTCACCCCAAGCAGCACCCGGCGCCGCGCCTGGCCACCGCCGCTCCGCACCAAGGTCATCTAAGACCAGGCGGTGGACCATCGCCGCGCAGACAAAGTCCCGTGTGAGCCGACGTCCCATGCAAGAGAAACGCGCAGCCGTAGAGAGACCGTGGCACAGAGAACACACTTCATCTGGGCCAGTTCCGTTTCCAGCTATAACGCTATAGTCATTCAGATTTTATTTATTGCCTTTGAGACACGAGTCTCCTTTGTGCCCAGCCTCTCACAGCAACCTCAGCTCCTGGGCTCAAGCGACTCCTCCCTGCCTCAGCCTCTTTAGTAACTGGGACCCCAGGCATGCGCCACCGAATGCCGATAATTTTTTTCTATATATAGTTAGGTGCCAATTAATTGTCTTCTATTGATATAGTAGGAGACGGGTTCCTCCCTTGCTCAGGCTGGTTTCCGAACTCCCTGACCTTCAAAGCGATCCACCCCCCTCGGGGCCTCCACCAGACTGCTAGAATTTACAGCTAGCACACCGCGCCCGGCCCTTTTCCATCAGTCATTCTGAATATAACTGCTATACTCATCTCAGATATTTACCAAAAAATGAGGCCGATAGGGATTGCCAGAAAAAAAAAAAAAAAAAAAAATATCATTATACGGACTTATATATAGTATAGTAAGATACTTTACAACAACACAGTCCTTAACAAAAAAGAATCTTAAAATATATATATAGTCTGCTATCACGCGAGCCACATTATTTAAGGATATTTTCTTTTTTATTTCAGCATATTCTGGGGATACAAATGTTAAGGTTTCATAATATATACCTATTTAGTGCTCTACCTACTGGTGGCACCCAAACAGCCTACTTCTAAGACCAAGTGTTTGAAAAAATAATAAATGCTAGCATCCTATCGACGGTGTCTAAATTTCTGTAACATCCGGAACAGACACATTTACCCTCTATAGAACATGCGCCCCTCGCGAACTCTGACACCTGCAACCTTGGGGCAGCTTATTAAAAAAGCAAATCCAGGCGGGTCCATGCGCTGGCTCATGCCCGTCATCTAGCACATGCTGGGAGCCGAAGCGGAGGATCCGCCCAAGTCAGGGACCACGCCCTGACAAGAGTAGGACCCCCATCTTCTACTAACACAAAAGAACATTAATTGGAACTATATTAGAAAAATAATTGATCCGTGGTGAGGCGACCAGTAAAACAAACACCAACCAACAAGGGAAAACTGAGCACTGACGGAATCGCTTCGAGCCAGGGAGCTTGGAGCTTGCCGGTTAACAACACAGAAAAAAACACAAAAACAACTCTAGCCTGGTCAACAGAGTCCCGTCGCTCCAACAAAAAAAAACAAAGGACGGGCGGTGGGGGGGCTGGGTCAGATTCTGATCCCAGTCAGTTCGGGGCGCAGTCAGTGTGGGGTAGAGCCTGGGAGTCTGCATTTCTAACCATCTCCTTCGTGGTCTGAAAAGTGCTGGTCCGCAGGCTACAGTTTGAGTAGCAATAACATAGCTTACATCACTCATCAGTTTGTATTTCTTCTTATAAAAAAAAACAAAACAAAACATAGCATACATTACTCATCAGTTGGTATTTCTTCTTATAAAAAAGAACAAAAAAAAGAACGTAGCATACATCACTCATCAGTTGGTATTTATAAAAAGAAAAAAAAAAAAGAACACAGCATACAGGTGTAAATAGATAGTCTTCCCTTCTCTAACCCTAATGCTCGGAAGAAAAGCTAGGAGCAAATATTAACAATAGCAAAAGTCTCTTAAGAGAGAGAAATAAAAGAAAAAAATAACTGGTTAGTAGAATATTTACGATAGTTCTGAACCCAAACAGTGGTCAAGTTTGAGCAAAGATATAGTGGGTAGGATCTAAGTTCTGTTTTAAGATTTCTCAACTTACTGAACTTTACATACGCTATTACCACGATGGATTAATGTAAATTGGTTCATGCCA